GTAAAATATTTAATAAAAAAAAAAGTATTATTAATGATAAATTATGACGCAGCGACATCTTGAATAAAATAGAGAACTAATCTGGGAATTATTTCCGGGCCATGTGATAGATGGCATCACCATCTTTGCGAAATGTCACTTCAAGGCGTCTGTCTCCCCCCTGGAATGTGTACTAGATCCGTCACAACAAATACCGACGGTTTTCTTATTAATTTTATCATATCAAAACACAATTTTTACTATGCTTACTTTATGGAATTTGTTTGAAGCATCCTTGCTTTGCTTGAATGCAGTTTGTGTTTTGCACGAAGAAAGATTTATGCAAAAAAGTGAGTAACTAGACAGACTAACCTAATGTCGCAATGATCCCTTTTTAAATAACAAATACATAATGTGTTAAATGTTATTACTTTCGTTTCTTAGTGGGATGGGGATCCAACAACCCAAACCAAGGATTTGAAGATCAATCAACAGTGAAGTTCCAAATCTTAAACTTGGTTAGATCTATCAGAACAGTCACAAGGAGTAAGTTTACTTTCTTTATTATTGTTTGAATTAATGTTTAACTACTGTATTATTATCATTATAATATGCTATTATTTATCTTTATTTTATTTTTTTCAGTTCCATTAATCATATTGAATATACTCACAATAATTTTTAAGTTATTATTGGGATAAAAGAAAGAAATACATTAATTTTAGACTAACAGGAAGAAGAACTACATCAGTACAAGGAAATAAGACAGAGAAGACTGCAAAAAGACATTCTCATCCTGAATTAGCCTTTGCTGAATATATCAAACCTCTTTTTTATAAGTGGAACCATCATGTTACAGAACCAGAACACATTTGCATTTTCTGTGTTACTCATTGTAATAGTTTTATGTACTAAGCATTTATAGTAGTTGTGATCTATATTTTATATATTAATTAGAGAACAATTTGTGTATCTACTACAACTAACATTTACCATTATGTAACATAAACAGTAAATAAATATGATTGTTTAAGTGAGTACATGCAGATCATTGTTTTTTTTTAATTGTGCCATTTGTAAATTACTTATCCTATAAAATAACAGTTACAATGATAGTATGTTCTGCACAGTATTTGATGACTTAAAACTTGTTAGAATACCTCTCTCTAGAATACCTAAACAAACACATTCAACCAAATAAACTCTTGCTTGAGCTACAACTAACAGTAAGAAAGTAGGTTTTTGTTTCCCGTAGGGGAAAAAATCACGGTGGAGTGTTTATTACCGAAGTAACGTTGACCTAATGTAGCTACTAATAGGGGTTAAATTGAAACTCCGTAATTAGTGCTTGAACTGCTGGTTTATATTTATTCGTTTTGGTGCGAACTTAGTACATACAAAAAATTGCCATCTTAAGCAAATCGATGTAA